TTCCTTCCTTCTAGTCTTACATTGCTAAATTAGGGACGGCTAGCGCAGATAGACCTCGTAGCTTTGCGCGAAATTCAAAACAAAGAAGCAAACTCACAACTGATCTTCTTTGCCTCCCTTACCCTTGTTAGTCACCGAAGCATTGAATTATGCATTTTTTTATGACAGTCTCTTTTTGGGTTGTTTTTTGAAAAACAAATAGAAGTTTATTTGCCGCGTATAATATGCATTTCAGTATGCCATTGGTATGGTGATAATACTCAGTATACTCGCACTTACTCTGCTGACATTAATAGTCGAATTCTCTACTTTAAATAAGGGGTCTTTGGTAGTAAAATGTATTATATCTAACTAGCTCATGGAGAAAGAATGGTATTGTTGAACCATTTCTGAAGAAACAAGACACTCAACTCTTAATTGGGTAATTCTTTAAATTTTGTTAAAAAGAGGGGAAAAAGGAACTAAGTACGCGCAAGATATAAAATTAAACATTTTCATCTATTTACGAAAATCTGAAGAGGATCATGATGTTTTTGAAAATTGCAGTATATTATAAGCATTATTAGATATATAACATTTGACGCAACTAAATTACCAGTAGATTAAAATTAAATACATAAGAAAACATTAAACAAGTATTTAAAATTCTGAATAAAAAAAGCCTCCTAGTGGCTCAGCGGTAAGACTAAAGACTTATAACGCTAAAAATCGGGTTTCGATATCCTTGGCGGGCACAGCACAGATAACCCATTGTGTAGCTTAACATCAAAAACTAAATAATAATAATAAAATAAATTTATACTTAAGCGTTGACGAAGTTATATTTTTTAACTAGGCATACACATACAAACCAGTAGCAATCGTAACGTTACAATGGCACCACAACGTGAAATATGTAAAGCAGAAGTGAAATATGTAAAGCAGAACGGCTGAATCTCCAAGCTTAGGATGTAACCAGAATATTTGAACAGTGCCATACCACTGTTTAAAAACTTTAAAGAAGAAGAGTATAGAATTGTACTGAAGTGTTTATTTTGTATGTACATATCACAGTAAGACATTATCAGATCAGCGTTTTTATTTTTCAATGGTTTGCAACGGATATATGAAATTAGCAACATTTCTTATTTAAAGAACTGAAATAATGGAATTTATAGCTTTTAACGTATTAAAAACGCAAATTTTTTATGTAGCTCTAAGTAAATACATTTCCCGTGTAAAAATGGTTTTGTAAACTCGTCCATAATA